CTTCAATAAAACATAAACATAACAACGGACATATTAAAGCAATTGTAAAGATTACAACATTCAGTAAATCTTAATCAACAAAGAAGACAGACATAATATTATATTATAGTATAGGTAAATTTTCTATAATTCATCTCTAGATAATAATAAATGTTTGAAATGTGATTTAAATAATTTAAGACTTGAAAGATTTCTTATTTTTAGAGGAATAGTGTTCCATAACTCCATACTAGAATAATAAAAAGTACGTTTCAAATAATTTGTTTTAGGTCGTTTATGCATAATATCTTTTTTATGTGTTGATCTTAGTAAGTAAGTTTTATTTTGAGATAACGGAATTAGATTAGAAATATATGCTGGCGTTAATTCATTCATCGCTTTATATACCATAATTCCAGAAAAGTATTTACATCTAGATGGAAAAGATAACCATTTCATATTTTGAAACATATCAAGAGAATTTGTTTTTACGGGTTTATTTAAAATAATTCTAGCGGTTCTTTTTTGTAATTTTGTTATTCTATTTAGATCTGATTTGTTACATTGGGACCAAATAATACATCCATAATCAAAAGTAGGGGCAATGTAAGCGTTATAAAATAATTGTTTCATTTCAGGTGTAAGAAATATTTGAATTCTTTTCAGCAGAGATATTTTAGAAGCAAGCTTAGAACATGTTTTGTCAATATGTGTTTTCCAAGATAGACAGTTATCAATATGCAATCCAAGTAGCTTTTGACAATGAACATTATTTATACTCGAATTCTCAATATGCAGAGAAAGATTGCCTATGTTATTTATTTTACATTTTGATCCAATTATCATGCACGTGGTCTTTTCTGGATTTATGGCCATATTATTGAGAGTGCACCATTCCTGTATTTTTAGTAAGTCTAGTTGCAACTCAGACTGTATATTACTCAAACTTTGGTCAGCTATGTGTAATGTTGAATCGTCTGCATACATATCAATGTCTGAATTCGTAGTGACTGATATATCATTTACATATAAAAGAAACAGTATAGGACCTAAGATTGAGCCCTGTGGCACGCCTGATATAACCGGTAAGCTTTCAGATTTATCATTGTTGACTTTTACAATTTGCTCTCTGTTAGAGAGATATGACTGGAAAAATTGTACAGAGTTTTCAGAAAAATTATAAAGTTTTAATTTATGAATCAGTATATTATGGTCAACTAAATCAAAGGCTTTTTTAAAATCTAAAAAATACAGCACCTATTATATTTCCATCATCAATATTCGTAAGCCAAGCATTTATAAGGCGGATCAAAGCCGTTTGGCAAGAATGATGTCTCCGGAAACCTGACTGGTGTTCATTTATGATATTGGTATAATGAAGATAATTATTTAGCTGATTTGCAACATGCCTTTCAAGTATTTTTGAAATGGTTGGGACAATAGATATTGGCCTATAATTATTGGGGTTTGACTTATCTCCCCCTTTGTGTAAAGGTATAACACGTGCTAGTTTCAGTTTATCTGGGAATATACCTAGTGAAATACTCTTATTAATAATTGAAGTTATTGCTCTCGTTATAGAGTCTTTACATAGTTTTAACATATTAGGACCAATTCAATCAATGCCAGAAGATTTATTTTTATCAAGGTTGTCAATATATTTGCTTACTTCAAATGTGGTTATGAAATCAATGTCAAATTGCTTATGTCTAAGTTTATGATCTAGAAAATCTTTTAAATACGAACTAGAAATGTGTCATCATGCCACGGATGCCCCCGCATGCAGCCAAAATTTCTGATGTTATTATATTTAGTTCCAAATTTGTTTGCACAAATTATTGTTTTCATTTTAAGTTCAAAGCCCTTAAAACTTTTCAATGTTAACACAAACCATTTTCATACAATGTTCAAGGCACTGAAATTATTCAGTCTTATCCTTTTGAAAATAGCATATTTCATATTTGTAGCCAAAATAATGGCTACATACATTTCCACACAAAAGTATGAGTGCTGAAACTGAAAGTTCAAAATTTTTTCCAATATTCAAGAAAGATAAGTTTGTCCAAAATCATTGAACCACGACCAAATTCAAACTTAAACTGCCTATTCCTAAGATGTATCTATATTATTTTCAAAGTGAAAGGGACATAACTCTGCCAAAAAATCATCGAACCATGACCAAATTCCAACTTGACCTGCCCATTCCTTTGACATATCCATATGTCAAATTTGAGTTGAATATGTAACACTGTTGGGTAGATAATGAACAGAAACTGTAAATTTCATATTTTTTTCAAAGTGAAAAGGGCATTACTCTGCCAAAAATTATTGAACCATGACCAAATTCGAGCTTGACCTTGGCATTCCAAAAAAATATCCATATGTCAAATTTGAGTTGAATGTGTTGTACTGTTGGGGAGATAATAAATAGAAACTGAAAATTTCATATTATTTTCAAAGTAAAAGGAGCATAACTCTGCCAAAAATCATCGAACCATGACCAAATTCAAACTTGACCTGTATTTTCTCATGACATATCCATATGTCAAATTTGAGTTGAATGTGTTGTACCGTTGGGGAGATAATGAACGGAAACTGAAAATTTCATATTATTTTCAAAGTAAAAGGGGCATAACTCTGCCAAAAATCATCGAATCATGACCAAATTCGAACTTGACCTGTATTTTCTCATGACATATCCATATGTCAAATATTGAGTTGAATGTGTTGTACGGTTGGGGAGATAATGAACGGAAACTGAAAATTTCATATTATTTTCAAAGTAAAAGGGGCATAACTCTGCCAAAAATCGTTGAACCATGACCAAATTCGAACTTGACCTGTATTTTCTCATGACACATCCATATGTCAAATTTGAGTTGAATGTGTTGTACCGTTGGGGAGATAATGAACGGAAACTGAAAATTTCATATTATTTTCAAAGTAAAAGGGGCATAACTCTGCCAAAAATCATCAAACCATGACCAAATTCGAACTTGACCTGTATTTTCTCATGACATATCCATATGTCAAATTTGATTTGAATATGTGCAACCGTTACTAAGATAATGAACGGAAACTGATGATGACGGAATGACAGAATGACGGAAGGACGGAATGACGGAAGGACGGAAGGACGGAATGACGGAAGGACGGAACAGGGTAACACTATATGCCCCGGCCATTACATGGCGGGGGCATAAAAATTGTTAACATTAAAATAAGATTTCTTAATTAGATTTGAAATTTCTGTAAAATGTTTATTTAAGGCATTTGCAACATTCACATTTCCTTCAAAAAGAACATCATTAATGTTTAATGTGATTGGTAAAGACGGTTGCTGCTTATTCTCATTTGATATGTCTTTTAAATTTTGCCATAAATATTTACAATCTCTCGAATCTTCAACTGCCTTGTTATAGAACATCTTCTTACTCTTTTTAATAATAGCCTGGCATTTATTTCTCCATAACTTATAATTAATCCAGTCTTTACAACCTTTATAGTGATCTCTTTTATTGCGGGCCTCTTTAATTTCGTCAGAGTACCAATCTGGTTGTTTAGTCCTTTTAATACGCTTTACTTTTACAGGCGCATGTTTGTTAAATAATGTTTCAATCATATTGTATAGAACATCAAGTGAGTTATTTGGCTCTGCAATAGTTTCAATCATATCAAAATTATTAGCATTCAAATCATCTTTAAATACTTGTTCATTAAAATTCTTGAAAGAACGATAATTTATCGTTTTATGCGAGAAAGCATTTGCCTCCCTTCTTGTAACACAATTTATTGTAAACGACAATGGATAGTGATCGCTTAAGCTTAAATTAGAGACACTCACATCATGAATATGGTTAAGGGAAGATACGTACAAATGGTCAATTATAGTAGATGTATCTTTAGTTACTCTAGTAGGAGATTGGATTAATTGCTCGAGGCCAAAATCTTGAACAATATGCGCCCATTTGCTATTATTAAAATTGTTAGGGTATGAATAGTTAATGTTCATATCTCCAATTACATACAAATCTAGATTATTTAATTCTGCAGTAATTAATTGCTGCTCATAGAAATCAATCCAAGACTGGTTACTGTTAGGTGGCCTGTATAAGAAATTTAACAGTACAGATTTATTGTGTGAAAAATTAACCTGTAACCAAACAGATTCCACATTTTTCGACTCTATGTCAATTCGCCTTCTATAAGAAACAGTATCTTTGATATATATTACAATTCCACCGCCACCCTTTAATACCCTGTCTCTCCTTTCAAAAGTATAATTATCAATTTTGAGATCCTTATCTTCTACTGAATCACATAAAATATTAACTATATATCATGTTAAAAATAAAAATTAAAACACCCAAACATTAAATGAATTAAATCACATCATGTACATATCCGTCCGGACAAATGGTATTGTAGTGTAGACAATTTAGGTTATTTTGATACCCTCCTTGAAAAGGCTCAGATATAAGTCTCAATATAATCAGAAATAATCAAACTAGTTTGTTAGTTAGTAGAAGAACCTAGCTGTACTGTGTCAAATTTTTAGGTCTCTAGGTTTGAAATTATGAAATATGTATGGAAAAATGTTCAAAAAGTGTCCGGTTGATGGTCCCCGACCAGTATTGCTATTTCTTGGTAAAAATCCTCGTTTAAAGTCATAACATAACATATGCATTTTCGACTTCCATATAATTTTGAAAAGTGCCGTACAGTACGGCTAGCCAATACAGTGTGTCCTTGCTAGCAAAGGTGCTAGTGGCATTGATTTGTCCTAAAATGTGTTTAACCTTGTTATTTATGCACTAAAACATCAATATATTAAAAAAAAAATTAAAAAAAAGTCGTACGTCATATATTTTGTAGGAAATGGCGCGTGAGTCACTCACGCGCCATTTCCTACAAAATAATGGATCTTCAAAGATAATTTTGCATGATAATCATACTGGTGCATCATGAACTAATCTGGCGATATACTAGACCTAATAATAGATAATAACACTATCGCTTACCGGTCTAAATTTAGTCCAAAACTTCTGTAGTTAGGCACTTTCAGTAGTTATTTGCACTAATTAAGATCTAGTAATTTCTTAAATTTTCGGACATTACATGGCACTAAAAATAGAGCCTGTGTTACGTCAATTCCGGGTGTAGATGGATACCGAAAATTAATCTGGTTCCCAGCGTACTCTGGCGTGGCTTGATAGACGTAATACATACTATATATCTATCTATCTTCCATATAGTCAAACCCCTGCTGGGGACCTAGACTTGACGCGCGTCAACTGACAAGAATGTTAGTAAAAGAACTAAAATAAAAGAATATAAAAGTAATGGAAATGAGTATATTGTTAAAATATCATGTGTATGTGTTGAAATCCCCACACTTGAGAGACATTATATATATATATATCTTATCTATAAGTTAAAATCCCAACACTTGAGAGTCATAATACATACATCTTGTCTATTTGTTGAAATCCCAACACTTTCAAGAGGGACATTATAGAAATATCATGTCTATACGTTTTAATCCCAAAAATTGAGAGATATAATACATATATCTTGTTTATACAAATATCTTTTCAATATGTTGAAATCCCAACACTTGAGAGTCATGATAGAAATGTATTGTCTACACATTGAAATCCCAACACTTGAGGGACATTATCAGAAATATCTTGTCTTGAAGTTAAAATCCCAAGACTTGATAGACGTAATACATATATCATATGTATGTGTTGAAATCACAACACTTGAGAGACATATTACATATATCTTGTGTCTGTGTTGAAATCCCAACACTTGAGAGATATAATACATATATGTTGTCTATATGTTGAAATCCCAACACTTGAGGGACATTATAGAAATACAATTGAGAGACATAATACATCTTTCCTATCTGTATGTTGAAATTCCAACATTTTAAAGACATAATATTTACATCTTTTTATATGTGGAAAACCCAACACTTGAGGGTCATTATGCAAATATCTTATCTAGACATTGAAATCCCAACACTTGAGAGTCAATATAAAAATAACTTGTGTAGACTTTTAAATCCCAACACTTGAGAGACATAAAACATATATCTTGTCTATATGTTGATTCCCAATACTTGAGAGACATTGTACATTAATCTTGTCTATATGTAGAAATCCCAACACTTTAGGGTCAATATAAAAATATCTTGTGTAGACGTTTAAATCCCAACACTTGAGAGACATAATACATATATATTATATAGACATTGAAATCCAACGATTTGAGAATTATTATACATTCATCTTGTCTATATGTTGAAATCCCAACACTTGAGGGTCAATATACAAATATCTTGTGTAGACGTTTAAATCCCAACACTTGAGGGCTATTATACAAATATTTTGTCTAGACATTAAAATCCCAACGCTTGAGAGACATAATACATATGAGCCGCGTCACGACAAAACCAACATAATGGGTTTGCGACCAGGATGGATTCAGACCAGGCTGCGCATCCGCGCAGTCTGATCAGGATCCATGCTGTTCGCTATCAGTTTCTCTACTTGTTAAAGGGTTTTCAAGCGAACAGCATGGATCCTGATCAGACTGCGCGGATGCGCAGCCTGGTCTGAATCCATCCTGGTCGCAAACCCATTATGTTGGTTTTGTCGTGACGCGGCTCATATGTATTATGTCTATATGTTGAAATCCCAACACTTGAGAGTCATAATACATATATTCTGTCGATATGGCGAAATCTTAACACTTGAGGGTGATTAAAATATCTACTTTGTTTTTATGTTGAAATAAAAAATTTGAGAGTCATAATACATGTACTAGCTAGTATGTCACGGTTCAGAACTGATCACTATTAAGGGGAATTGGTGTGATAAGCGGCCAGATAGCTCAGTCGGTAGAGCCGCGATACGGTATTCCGAGGTTTTCGGGTTACTGTCCCGGCCAGACTGCACATTTTTCTCTCCTTGTGACATTTGGGGCCCAACAGGGGATACCGTGATGGTATAAACTCCGAGTTTAATTTCACATTGTTGTCTGTACCCATTTCAATATAGCGGGGGAGTATAAAAATGTGCAGGCTGATCGGGACTCGAACCCGGGACCCTCGGAATACCGTACCGCGGCTGTACCGATTGAGCTATCCATCCGTTACCCAATATCTCCCCTAAATAGTGAACAGTTTTGAACCGTGACAAGTATATACATGTCAAAAATTGGAATCATTTCTGTTTAATGTGTCTGTGTTTTCTTTAAATATATATAAAAAACAATATACTTTATAAATTATTTTTACGTCACAAAACCTTTTGTATGATTAAAAGTTGAACATAATGGCCAATCTGTTGTAACAAAATTTAAGGGATTAAAACCGATTCCGGTAACTTTCATCGCGCAATATAATGTCTGCTTTCATTTTCCATGTATAATAATGCTATTTTAAAATCACAATGATTATCATAATAATCTAATATCATATACATAGCTAAAAGCAATGTTTTTGCGGAGCTTTCCCTTTGCTGTCTTTGCAGTATTATTTGCACTTGTTGCATAAATATTTTATGTTTAAAAATGAACATACTAATAGAATGTATGAGGTTACGGGAAATCCATGATGAGGTCAACTTCGTGAATTTTAAATAATGATACTTCTAAAAAGTAAAATAATTTATTAGCATAGTTATAAGCATAGCATTGCTGAAATTTAAGGTATTAGGTAAGATTTATAAAGCATTATGGCGCGTTGTCGTGAATTGTTTATTTATGTTGTAATATAAGTAAATAAAGCAGATTCTACATCTCCCGAAAAAAATATAGTAGAAAATGCTTTTTTAAAATTTCCTTCTTATTTTATATGGGCATCAAATTCAGCGTGCGAGAAACTGCTGACCAGTTAAACATATAATAAAAACTACTGCCCAGTTAAACATATGGTAGAATCTGCTGACCAATTAAACTTATTATAAAAAGTGCTAACCAGTTAGATATATAAAATATATTATATTTTTCCGCAGTTTCCATTTAACTGGCCAGCAGTTTCCTATTTACTCTCTATCGTCAGCTAATTCGTCAGCGGTTTAGTTTACAGCGGTATTTCCTCAAGTGTTGAGATTTTATCACGCGTATGTTTACCTCAACTGTTAGATTATAGTCAGACCCCCAAAAAATGGCGACCTCCAGTGTAAGTACAACGGATAGGAAAAAGTATAAATGTTTGGACCATTGGCTGAAATTACAAAATAAAAGTTGTCTTATAAGCCTGAATCTGTAGCGCAGCAGTGATTTTGTCATAGATTTATTAATTTTTTGAGCAATTGCATTTTGATTTACTGTTATAGTGTTCGGATGATGCGAATGTAATGCCAATTTCGGATACTAAACCAAACTATATACGCTTGTAGATCTATCATAAAAATATAGTGAGAACAACTTTCTACGGTATTTAAAACTTATAGATACATTGTGTCCTAAACTTGGCAACAATGAACTGGATGGTATCCAGTGATACCCCTGTTTTATACAGATAATACTTCATACTGGAGATATGACAAGTGCATTATCATACGTTACCTTATCATACAGTCTGATTTAGCCAACACTGTCTGCAATTGCGTCTTATCAGTAATGTTAACCAGTATGAAGGGGGACCAAGAAGCTTGGGCAGTTTTGTTCATTTATACTAATATTTATGAAAGTTATGTTTTGACATAGATTCGCTGGTAGTATAAGATCCAAGTACATGTATAACAACATAAATACCGTATTTTTCATTGAACGTTGGATAGAGCTCCTATCCTAACTTTAAAACCAGCACAACAAACTCAACTTCTAAAATGTTGACATGTCGGGTGAAAATTGTTTCGTTTACATATTGTATACAATTAACTTTAAAGGGACTCGCTTATGTTTTTGTAACTTTAAATGAAATGAAGTGTGGCGAATCATTGGGATTGTTAAACCCATGTTTTAAATTATTTGCCACCTTTAGTTTGCATACAAAATACATTTTGTACAATAATTGTGTTTTTTCTGCTATTTCGATATCATGGAGTAAGATAATGAATAAAATTCAGTGTTTTCAGATGCATAATTGTGAAAACTCATTTTTGGTTCCAAAACATGAGTGAGTCCCTTTTAAAGAGTTTCTGTACATAAAACCATTATGCACCAGTCAATTGTAACCACGCCCCCCCCAAATCATTTGACCTTCAATTATTTCAGGAAAGAAGAATTGCAGATGCAATAACAAATTATAATATACATGTGGGAGCCAAGATCTCAACTCTGAAAGAAAATCAGAGAAGTGCTGTAAAGTATTTAGTTGAGGGCAAGGACTGCAACAATCTGCAATTTTTGTGACTCTCAACTGTGTATTGAATGGGATTTTTCTAATTTAGCAATAAATAAGTGAAAAATCTCAATTAGGTTCTTCAGCACAGGAACAGATTTTGATGCACAAATAAAAGTTTAACAAAGTGTTCTTGTAAAAGATTTTTTTTAAATTACTGAAACATTACTTTCTAACCAAGTGTTCATTGTGTCATGCATAATAAAATGTAAATGCTCATGTACAGTACACAATACATCATCATATTTTAATTACATATTATGTTTAACTGTACTAAAATTATGATGTGTTGCTCAATTACAGTTAGTTACTGTATCAATTATTGTTCAAAGTTCATAATGTAGCATCATTTTGTGATGTAGAATCCATTTCAATATATCAGCCATATTCAATTTCTTAATAGGATTTTTTGGTATTTTTTCAGAGATTCAGACTGACGACCACACACTTCCATGAATGGTTTTATTTGTCTCAGGTCTCTGATAATTTGTTTTTCATCCTCGAATGAAGATAGTTTTTTGTGTTTGTGAGCACGCTGTACAACCCCAGTTTTTTTGTCAAAGTTGTTTGATATTTCCTCCATCCCAAAGAAAGCACTACTTCTTTTTACCAATGATTTATCAGTCACATTTGATCCCATTGACCGTAAATGTCCTTTGGTCAATCTTACAATATGTTCCATTTGAAGATCTGCAGGAATGATAGTTCTGCCAGTGTTAACAAACAGTCCATAAATGCTTTCATTTGCTTTTTTTTTCACTCAAGAGGGCAAATTGCTGACATAACAGTCTTAAAATCTCAAGAGCATATTTTGACTTATTCTTATGGCCTTTCAACACCAGCATGATATACTTCATGTGACAGAGCAAACGAATCCGACTTGGTGATTTCACAATGTCACATAGTTCGAGAAAAATGAGTCCAAGTTCCAATACAACTTTTCCATATGACAATACAGCGTCAGTTCCATTAACATCCACATCTTCACTTGATATGTGCCGCCTGCTTTCAGATACTATGTTTAAAACAAGTGGTTGTACAAAAGTCGTCATCCAATGCTTTATTTCATTGTTTGTCATATTTTTGTGGTCTGGGAGATTTTCTAGGGCTGTGTCAGTGTTCTTCAAATCAAAATACTGACATGTTGCTTCGACAATGTACGCCCTTTTGAATGAAACTGCTAGGTCTCGACAGCTATCATAATGATTTTTGACGTCTTTACCTTCAGCATGTTTTCGCAAAAGTCTTACTTTCTGTGAGTAAAGTGTGAATGGCTCTGTACAGTCCGCTTTGTAAAGTATGTCATAGAATGTTGCTAAAACAGTCATTTGAAGATGGAACAGCTCAAATGTTATTGGAGATAGATTTTCAAACCTCTCGGATGCAGTCAGGGCTGCTGCTCTTAGTCTTTTTGCACCAGAAAACCTTTCTCTAGTGAGCTGGTCACCCCCTATGCGAATTTGAGGAACTTGGAGTCCAGAACCTTGATATAAGGTCTCACCTAAATCTTGGTATGTGTCCAAAATATCTACAACAGCAGCATATTTCTGTTCATTTTATGCTGTATTTGAAGGGGTATGACTGTGTTTTTCAGTTTCATTTTCAAAGGTGTTCCCCCTTGAATTTCATTACTTACAGCTGATTTGGCAAAATTTAGCCATGGAAAAAAGTCTGTTAATACCCTTGAAACAAGAATGCACATATCACTTGTTATCACTTTCCAGTCATTATCATGCATAATGAATTGCTCGGCTGGAAGTTGCTCAAGGTTGCACTGGGGTATTGTGTCTGAACAGTCATTGAATGAAACATTTTGAACAATGGCAGCAGATCCAAACCAATGTTCCATATGGCCAGCTTTACCTGTACTTTTTCTCTCGTTCGTGACTCCAATATTGAAGTTAATATTGTCTCTAACTATTCGAAATTTCTTGCCCTCTTGTATGGAATTGATCAGCTCAGTGTTAAAGCTGCCTGATATGGCTGACATAGTCTCCAACATGCCAGAATGGCTAAGTGATATACCCAGAGGCTGTAGCCGGTCATACACCTGTTGGATAGAGAAAACATATAAAATAGATAGTGTGTGTGTTGAGGATTACACCATATTACATCTCCTTACATTGAAGGTCAGTCTTTTTGGTTCAGAACAAGTACTAATTTAAGTTCACTGCAAAAACGTACAAGTCTATATTTAGTATTTATTTGTACAGGTAATACTTATTTTTTACATTTCTAAGGAGCACCAACTGTCATCAGAAAATATGCCCCACCTAAATGTACGACAACAAGTTTGGTGATAGGTGGTTGTATGTTAAATGCTACAAGTGGACACTGCAAAGACAGTTTCAATGGTCCTTTCTCTTGAAGGACTGATGCTTAAAAGCTGGTTATGAAATATAACATAACAGTGATTTATAGTGAAAACTTTTTGTAAATTAAATTAAATAATTAATGACTCCTGGCTGCTTTAATATCAAAATCATATTCAATTATAAACATAAACATGATATAAAGAGACCTATTGAAGACTTTGAATAGAAAAAGCCCTGGTCTGTCACATTTACCCAAAATAGGTTGTTTCTTTGACGGTGATATCCTGTGGCCGAACTTCATTAACTGTTCAAAGTGAAGAGAAGAACCAGCAGGTGAACAGGAAAACATCAGCTAGAACTTGGAATGTAACTGTAGAACATGAGAAAACATCAGCTATAACTTGGAACTTAACTGTAGAACATGAAAAACAAGGGTTTCAACTATAACAAAAGCAATTGGATGCTGAACTATATTTAAAGTAACATGCTTCGAAAACTTCAAAAATGTCTTATGATATTATATACATTTATGTGTGGTGTGCATATACTGTATCTATTTTAATTTGTATGACAGTTGTCAAGTTCTCATTTAGTGTCATAAATTGTTTCCTTATCAATGGTTACAACTGGAGAATATATAGAGGATATTTGTTTAGTTCAGTGTAAGATCGGAATATATTTCCCGAGTGAGCACCAAAAGGTTTATTTCACGAGTGGCGAAGCCACGAGTGAAATATGAACTTTTGGTGTTCACAAGGTGAAATATATTTCGATCTTACACTAAACTAAACAAATTTTCTTTTTATTATATGCAAAGAAACGTTTAAAAAAAGACATTAAACCTAATACTGAATGAAAAGCGCGCCAAATAATAAAACAACGTGACGTCATTTACGACGTCACGTCATTAAGTTGGTACCCAGTACTGTGCACGCTGGTATTTCACTGAAACAATGTAAGGGGCTTAAATTCAAAACAGTGAAATTATCAAAGTGGTAATTTCACTGTTTCAAACAGTGAAATTACCAGTTTTATATCACTGATATATTTCTATAAACCACCGAAAAGCATGTAATAAATACCTCATAGTAATGAAATAGTAGGGTTCATACATTTATGCATGTTTGTATATCTATAGGCATGTTTGTATAGCACTATTACGCATTTAGAATTTAGAATTTTTTGTTAGTGGCTTATTTATAAGACAATTCATTATAACAGAAAACAAACAGTTGAGGCCAAACATTAACTACCAGGCCTGCAACAATTCTGAAACAGTTTTGCATGCACAAACCATATACCTTTTGGTGAGTCTGTTCATTTGCAAGTGTAACTGCAACAACCTTTTGGACACTGGACAATTCATGGAACCTCTCTTTCATCAGCATGCCATATACTGTACCCAGCACTGGCACAACAGACTCTGTTGCAGCTAAATTTCCAATTTTTCCAGTTGGAAGTGCAACAGCAAGTAAAATTTCAGCCAGAAAAGTTTGCTTGTCTGTCATTTCAGCTACAATATTGTCCCAACTGAAGGTTGCTAGATTTTCATATTGTTTTTGATTTAAAACACTCCTTCTGGTTGCACATTCTCTGGCCTCCATTTCTACGTCATATAGCACAAGGCACTTCAATTCCTCTGCAAGAGACGAGCTCATTAATCCTCTGGCAATTTGTTGAGGACTGCCTCTACCTGTTGCAAAATAAGTAACCACCATTACAGTTCTTTCCACAGTAAGACAACTTGAACAGCTGATTTCCATCAATGCCTGTAGTCATGCAAGATTTCATTCGTAATAACAATTTTTAATACCTAAAACTTGTTTTATTAGCCCAATCTTTCAACAGTTTAAAAAGGGAAATCTGATCTGGAATGAATTAAAGCTGAAGCTCTGCCTAACTCCATATAATAAGTGTATAAAGAATAATTATGGTTTCTGTTTTTTAACTTACAAAGCAACTCCACCAAATGAGCCTTTTCACCGTCCTTGAGCTCAGCATAATGACGAAGACGTCTTAAAGCAGCCTTGTGAATAGACTCTGCACCCTTGCCAGCTTTTTTCTGGAGTAAGACAAAAATCAAGTTGGATTGTCTTGGAAAACTTGATTTCTTGTAACAAGCAGAATACTTGACAACAATCAGTCATTGGAAAACCTTGTGCAAAAAACTTGAAAGAAAAGTGGATTGAATCAAAATTAAAAAAATAATTTTGCATTTATCTTAACAATTGTTTTACTAATGGCACATACATTTAATAGTGACAACCGAAATATTAATTGCATTTGCAATATTATCTTGCTTTGATCAAGGGCTCTTATTCGGCCATTTGAATTAAGATATACACACAAACATTCAATTTAAAGCCCACATCATAACATCATGTGTACATGTATAACATCTAAAATGTTCTAATTTTTGCTGCTTAGCATGAATTACTATGTATATCTTCAGATATATCAGAAAGTTTAAATATTACAATAAGAATTTACAAAGTATTTTCTATTTAAAAACAAAATATTTAAACACCTTACAATATTATTTACCTTAAGTTCTTTTTTTTTTGGCTCCAAAAATATCCATTCACCTTCCTCATGATCACTTGACCTGAAACTGAAGAACCACAGAGAATGAGTGTTGGTATATCAATAACCTGATACCTGACACTCTACAAATTGTAGAGTCAACATTAACATTTTTCATATACATTATCTAAGTGTTATCATTTTGGACCATTAAGCTAACTTTTTTTAACGTGCACTGGTGTAAAGCAATGTCACACGGGGCCCCAATTTAACATCCCTCACTGATTTGCTTGATACATCAGTTCACTTATTGCATTACCCATTCACTGGTGTCCATTACATACCTGTATATGGTTTGGACAATGTTTCAATATTTCATTACCAACTGTTAACATTCTCAACAATTTACCTGGTAGATATAGGGAGCACTATGTCAGTCTGAGTTCCTTGATCCACTGATTTCACTATTTCTCCTGAAGAGGAAGGGATCTGTTCAGTGATGTCCAGTCTCTTAAATGCATTTTTGCAGGAACGGCCTGTTAAAAAATAAACTCATTTACAAATATGTTTTTTAAAAATGAGTTACCATGTTCAGCGTATTAAGAAACTATTGTGCTATCTATCAATTTAATACCAGAAATCCACATCCATTACAGTTGTATTACTAAATGTTTTTATAACATGTTCAAAGGCTTAACAATGCTGCAGAAATGGTGAACTGTCTATATTAAAGTACAAAATTGTTCATAAAAGCCGAATTTCCAATAACTATCTGTCACCATGGAAGCAACATGGATAACAGTATGTTCAAAATGTATTCAACCACCTTCATTTGTTCCTATCACAAGTGTGTGTCACATTGCCATTGAATACAGTAATGTACATATTTTTATTTTTAACATTTTTTTTCATTTTTTATAATTTATTTATTTTGGTCAATATGATGAATATAATTATGTCTTATGAAAAATTATTCCACAATTTTTCATGAAAGAAAATTACTATCTTTATTTATACAATAATTATACTAATTTTTTTTCATGAAAAATTGTGGAATATTTTTTTATAAATATGACATTGAATCACTATCTTGACCAAAAATATAAATAATAAAAATATAAAAAATATAAAAAAATATAAAAAATAAAAAAAATATATTCAGGCAATATGACGAGCGCCTGTGGTTAAACTAAACCTGAAATAATTTCTCTTAAAACTCGTAATATGTTTATCTTACCTGTCCTTAGATTCACAGGAAATTTGACATTCATTGCCTCGGCACATTTTGTCCAGTACATAGTATCTGTACCATGTTGCTCATTACATCTTACATACTGGTGAAGGAACTCCTTTTCTTGGATCGACCAAGGGCAATGTCTGGCCACACGGTCCTGTAATAAAAATTAGTTAGTTTTTTTGTGTTTTTCATTTTTAAATTTAACATTTATGTTAGGAAAACTATTTCGAAACATCAAATACATACCATCTCTCCCATTTTTTTCTACCTTTAATATATATATTATTTTTTATGTTCTTTAGAAAATAAGTCCAAAATGCTAATAGGATTTTTCAAACAAAGAGGTATTTCAATGGTTTGTATTAAATAGCATACAGATATACAGAATATCCAGAATATACAAAATCAGAAGTTTACCTCACACAATGATGTGCGTTTAGACACCTGAACTGGAGTTTTGCCTGTTGGTGTGCTGCTCTCTCGTTTCCGTTTGGATTTTGTTGGCGTTTGTTTGAGCTTTGATGGTGACTTCACATATGAGTGCTCAATACTGTCTCTCACAATTTTTGGCAGACGTTCTTCTGGATCAAACCTCGGATATGTGTGGTCCATTGTAAATATTGTTTCCCTGTTTAATGAATATTTGTATATATTATAATGCCATACTCAGAACACTTAAATCTGACTAGTTACATGTATGTGTATTCAAATCATAAGTAAACATAAACTGTGTTCTGAAAAAAAGGTGAACACACAAAAAGGTGAATTCTTATTACCAGATTTTACTATCCGAAATACCTATATTCCGTTCATTGTCCGAAACCTATACAACTACGTAAACATCCGATTTCCAAACAAACCAAAGCTAACCAACACTACCTAACGATAGGAATCAATACAAATATATACAAGAAAAGCATTGATGCAAAGCATCAAAGGGCGTCCAAGCAAGAAATGCAGCAGGTGAAGATGACCTAGTAGAAATATGATGACAAGATATTCTTATAAACTTTTCAATGGTTTATTGGTTTTTACCAGAATTGTATATCACTTATGAATGAACGGACGAAAGACATTGTTCATTATTAGCTATGCTAGATATTAGAATATTACTTGTAATTTCCTTATGATCATTATTATTAATAGCAACGGATATACATGATTGTATACAATCATTTATAATCCATATGTGTTATGCATGATCAACACCACACTTGTGTAATTGTCCCTTATTATGTTATCGCTATTAGCGAATTAAGACACCCTCTTAAGGTATCTGTTCACACTTACACGCCCGGCAAACTGTCGCTCCACTTCAAAATTGTGGTGTACGGTAAAACGAGCGAACGGCATTTCCGCGATAGAGCGGAAGGTCGATTTAAACGCCTAATTGTAAGTATTGTTTATGTTTTTGTCTTGTTATTCATTTAAGTTGTATTTTTTCGAAAAACGGAAAATGTAGTTCCGTGTAGGATTGATTTAGGCTTCCAATGATCTAAGCTGTTACAAAAAGAAAATTATATTAAGCCCGGGAGAACTTTTCTCCCTGACGAAGCGAACGATGATTTGTAGAATATTGAACTTCCCAACCATTGAAATGCCATACCCTTCGGATTTCTTGAAAAAGTGTATTAGTAAATTATCAACCCGTAATAAGAACTTGTCCTTCGTGCAAAATAAATTACTCCTGAAGGATTTCTTAAATTTGTAAATCGATATTTTTCGAAAGTAGTGGAGCGAAAGGGCAAGAGATGGAGCAAAAGGTTCGATGTTGAGCGCAAGGCGATATTAATTTGACGTATTAGGAGGAGCGTAGTCTATGATTTTTTATATATAAAAGCTATAGAAGTTAAAATAGACGTGATCAAGTGTTGAGACCGAGATATATATATATATATATATATATATATATATATATATATATATATATATATATATTTATGAATCAGGAGTTAGGTCGAATTAGGTCATTTATATGAGAAATAACGTTATTAAGTAGAATTTCTAATTTTAGAATTTATCTCAATTTATAACGTTCTTTTAATAAAAAAAAATACACAAAATTCAAGCTAATAATTTGATGAACAACATAGATGTGTTTATATTGTCTTAACTGTTACGAGATCCAAAATCGATATTTTTTTCTAATTAATTGTTCTACTTTTCGTTATCGTATAATAATAATTCGACCTCACGAAAAACTATTTATGATTTGGTACTTAGGTTGATTTGTTCAATTGTTTGACCTTATAACTATATAGTTACAATATATTTTGTACGACTATCAGTACTACTTTATAATACTGTCGGAACATACATTAGTCGAATTTATTGAATGTGCCACATGGTATATAGAAATTAGGTCTTAGCGTAAAATTTATCCATTTATATAAATGAAAATTTCGGATGAATACAAAATATAAAATATCTGTTTTTATTCCATCATATATATTTCTTTAAGTAATATCAGACTAATGTCGAACAAATTTTTAAATGCATGATTAAATTTAATATATCACGTACTCAGGCCGAATCCAAATGAGAAAAATTATCACATACATGTATATTGAAATGTATCAGGGGAAATTAACAGAATGTACAGACTCGATCAAACCGAGTCTGCAGTTCTCTTGAAATTTTGTTGCGATTAATGCTTCCGATGGATCACTTTGTTTCCTGATTTTTAGAAATAAGTCCTAAGTGGAAAAGAAAAGATACTGAACCCAAGAAATCGTAATTATTTCCCAAATTATTTTTATCGCTTAAAATGTGTAAAAAAATCTTGAATTTAGTAGGATAAGATATCTTTATCATTTATATATTCCGGACTTAGTTCATATCTAAAGAATTTGCATCGAATATATTGAAAGTGATACTGGTTATTTAAAACTTAGTGCACGTTTTCGATCAATAAATAAAATGGTATCTTGTCTAAATAAGATAAGCGTTCAGTCAAGATACAGAATGCCCATTTTATGAAGGTTTTTTTTTTGGCACTCTTTTAACCCACATACATGTAAATGTCAGGCACTTGTTTTATTATGCGTTTATACATTGCTGGATATTTTTGTCTTTGTTTTTATACTCAGACTTAAGTCGAATTTATTGAATGTGTCACTGGGTATTAGAAAAATCTTCCCC